CTGTGAAATTACGAACTAGCATGCATATTTGAACATGCATCGGGGGCGACCATTTGGACTTCCACTTTTTCGCAGGTCACTTCATTGGTGGCCATAGGTAAAGATTGGTTTTTTTTTTTTCAAGTGAATGCGGTTGACCCCGAAAAAATGAATAACATCATTGTTCTATCTCAGGTTCATCAAAAAAAGTGGTTTTTCAAAATTATTCCGAACCCAGATCATCAGGAAGGGTCTTTCGGACTGGTAGTGACGTGTTTGCTTTAGACTTTGATCGGCATCAGGAAAGTCTATATTTCATTTGCGGCATTTGGTGAATCTGATATTCAACGAATACATTCAAGACCCATTATCGCCGTTGCTTCTATCCAACAGCCATCAGTAATTTATGCCGGGTGCCGGGATGGTCGGATTCGCTTGTTTGATATGCGTTCGGATGCCAGAAAATCATATGGTGAAGGTCCACGCATAAGACAATCATCGCCAGTGTGCAACCTAAAATCCATCCATAGTCATCATCTCCTATGCGATGGAATGAATGGATCGGTGCATAATTTGATTTATCTATCTATTCGTTTGTTTGCTGATGAATTACATAATTTTGAAATCGAGCATTTATTTTATTTTCCCAAATCTCATTGTTTGTTCGCGGATTTTAGTTGTCTCTTTGGGACACCAGATATATGTGCAAAGGTAGTGACTTTGATATCTCAACCCCGGTTATGGAATATTTAGGACACGTTAATCTTGGCAACCGTCGAGTGGGATTTGCCGTTAACGAACGAGAATCAATAGTTGCAATAGGTACAAGGATAATGAAGACTTGCTATTTTTTTTTTTTTTTTTCTTCCTTTTTTCCCTCGTAATAAATCTTTTGCAAAATGATAGGCGGCACAGACAGATATGTTCGATTCTATTCAATATCGTCCGGAAAATCGGTGCGTGCACCTATTGGACCGTTTAAAGATCAAGTATCGGCCATACGATTCAGTGAAAGTTATGATGCCGTGAGTTACCCCGAAGTTCTTCCGAATATGAAAGCTCGCGATACGATGGGTGAGGGCATTTGGTTTTCAGTCGGTTCAGGATTGCAATGGTGGAGTGTTTAATGATGGTCTTGTGGTTATTTGCGGGACCTTTTTGGAAAAAATGTGACGCGTGAGGTCATGAAGGGTGTCAATGTGGATGGAAACATGTCTATTTATAATGTACACGATAGTTTTTACATTTAGCAAAAACCAGCAAAAATAAAAAAAAAAAAAAATGAATACAAGAAAAATTTTGTAATATTAATCGTAGGATTTTTATTTCTTAGTTTGATGCGTGCTATTTCTCGATAAAACTTAACGGATCAATCACATGATATTCTAGTTCGCACTACTTGGATTCACCAAGATTCTGAGTTCCTATTGGAATGCCGCCAGTAAGCTTCAATATCATTATTCCATGTTTTGGAATCTTTGATGAAAAACTATTATCAATCATAGCAATGTTAGCGTTTACATTAGAAGAAGAATTGAATGACACAATCTGTCCTGGTCTAGTAATTCGTTGCGACGAAGGTTTACCTTTTCGTAAACTTTCCTTTATCCGCTCTTTCCCAAAGATCTCTAATGTGAATCTCGCCTTCCAGTTTGCAGTGGTATGCGAAGTCTAGAGTGATTGTTGTCGCGGTTTCCGCTCGATTGAACAGAACTGGAATGATAATAACATGAATGATATAAACAAACCAATAAAAAGCAATAGTGTCTTCGCTTGCCTTCTGTCAACTTCAAACAAATACCAAGCATAATGTATAAATCAGACAACACATACGCGCAACATAACCATCAGTCAAAGGTCCGGTCCAGACGTCAAAAAATCTGGAGCTTTGAGCTATGTGTACGGATTTTCCCAAGGGATCTTGCTGTCAGACGGAAAGCGAGGCTTGTGTCAGATGCAAAGCTATGAAAGCTACTCAAATGGTCGCCATATCGTAAACTTACATTGATTGCAATGATCTCAGGATTTAGCACTATTTCCAATGTGTCCTTTGGAGGATTCCTGATCTGTGGATGAAAAATGTTGAATTACGAATTACCGTATGAATAACATTGACACCACATAATTTTCTCTTATTCACCAAAGCTTACATCAAACCCTAGCAAAAGTGGTGCTTTTAATGCAGCCCAAAGAGCAAAGTGACTCTTTTGTTCATCCACAGTGAGATCCCCATTACCGACTTGCAGCATATCGGGATCGTTCCATCCACCTGGTCCTGCATAATGTGTGATTCTTTGTTGCTTCTTTAATATGGAAATAATTGATATCCATGAGGCCCTAATGTCACCCGTAGTTCTCCAACTATGCGAATGAGTAAATGACGAAATTATTTCATAATAAGAATTATCTGGTGGTCAACATAGTATAATACCTGTTGCCAACTTCCGAAGCCCAAAGATGTGGTTGTGATTTCCTGACGTAATAAGTGCCTTCGTTAGTTTTATTTAATGGAAGTTTTCATTAAAAAACATAAAAGAATTGGTAGATCGTACCCCCATTCACATATACTATAGAATATTGGCCTGTCGGTAGCTATAAAATAGGTCAAAAAAAAAAAACCCCCCCTTTTGTCTCTAAAAATATTTTCGCCGAAAACAAAATAAAATTCAACTTCTCTAACCATTGAGCGCATCTCGCATAGTCTATTAAATATGAATGCTTGTTAAATCGAATGGAGAAGCGAATTAATTGGGTACGAAGAGATTCTCATCTACTTGCCATATATCGTTTATTCTCGGGCGAGCCGTCATTATGACAATTGTCGTATTTCAGGAAGTCTATCCCCCACGAGGCAAAAACTTTAGCGTCCTTTTCCTCATAACCTGGAATGAGGGGTTAGATATCGAAGAATATTCTTGTGAAAATAATTTGAGCAAAATTTACCAAGGCTTCCAACACGTCTAGCGCACGTGAGGTAACCTGCGAAAAAGTGGAAGTCCAAATGGTCGCCCCCGATGCATGTTCAAATATGCATGCTAGTTCGTAATTTCACAG